TTTTTTTTTTTTTTTTTTTTTTTTTTTTTTTTTTTTAAAAAAAAAAATTTTTTTGGTATATATATATATATATATATAAATAAATATTTTTCTTTTTTTTTCCAAATGAAATAACTTCACCTGCCAATGGCACGGGCCATAACAGAAATATTGGTTACATCGGAATGGATAGACCTATCAAAAATGGCAGATGTTATCGTTCTTTACCCTAGAACTGCCTATTACAGCCCAAGTACTTTTGCTAGTGGTTCCCGTGGTCCTTAGAACAAGGACGGTTTTTTGATTTCTCTCTCCACCGATTTGCTTGACACCCCGGTCAAAATCCTTGAATCACATCCCCATCTTCCTGGTCATTAGTTTGGCGTGTTATTTATTATCCACATGGCGCCATCGGCTGAATCAGGGGAGAATTCCGATATAGGTAGCACGGCTCCAGGTATGGTAAAAAGTACGGATAAACCCCAACCACGCAGTCTACATATCGTATCGCGTACTCTACGGTCCCTATACATACACAAGACCCCCATATATGCCTCAGTATCAACCCAATATTACTACAGAACAGGAATGACAATCATTCATCTCGATCTAAATAAGAAAAAATAGAATGGTCGAGCCTCAGGCTTGTTGGCGCAGTTTGAGCGGTACGACCGGGGCCCTGATGACCGTTGCAATACGCCACGGGCACTCCCTGGGACTAGAAAAATAATAATAATAAAATTATTAGAAGTGGATTTTCAACAATATTTCTCGGAAAGACAAGGAAGAACTAGCAAAGCTGTCAAACTAGAATTCACGCACTGTCCCCGCAGGTCACCGCTAGACGCTTACAGAGTCCTTTTCTCTCCACACGGAGTACAGACAGATACAGATAGATACATATTCAATTGACAGAAGCAAGGTCCATACTCCATACGGGGATTGAATTTGTCAGACCACCTGTAAGTAATTCGATCGACCTGAGCTGCCGGGATGATGCTAGTCCCAGTCCTGGGTACTACGCGCAGCTGCCCGATGCATAACGGCCATTACTGTACATACATACAAGTACTCTGTACGGAGTACACAGAGTACTTACTAGTACGCTTCCACTACTACTCTATACATAATAGTAGATCAACGATCTATTAGTGCCCCGCGTATTACCGTATCATACTGTCGCACAAACGTGAGGAGTCTGACAGGGATTCAGAGAACCAGTATGATTGGTTCCTCATTGGGCAAGTTGAAGTATCCGGTGCGCCCGGAGTAGGTTTGAAGGCGATCTTGTATCGCATCAGGTTAGCGCGGTAATTGAATTACTATACAAACATGAGCAACTAGCCTGAGGCATAAATCAGTCATTGATTCTATTAGTCACGTGGGGCTTATCGGACCAGTTAAAACATGCCAAAGTTGGCGACATCTGGCACACAGACCAATGGAATCTCGATCTCGGTAAGGGTGGAAAGAGATCCACCAAGTTGCAGATCATCGTCGGCTGATGTAGCACGAGAACTGGTCGATCGCTGCCATTCTCCACTTTGACGTTAGCATCATTTGTACCACTAGGATTACAGCACTAGGCGATACCGCTACCAGTACTATACAGGAGTCAGACTCGACAAGGATAATATGCGCTGCAACATCATCGAATCTCAGGCGCCTGGCGCTTATGGCACACCTTCTCTCCCGTGTCTGGCTTTGCCTAATCCGGAAGCTGACATGTATCCCTAGCAAAAGATGATATGAGGTCTGTAGTAGAGTAATCCTCGACAGGGCCTTCATATGGATGCTATGAAAGGTTACGCAGGAACGCAGATTACTTCTTTGTCTTGGGGCCAGTTCTACAGACGGGGTGAGAGAAGAAAAAAAGACAGAAAAAGGAGAAGGTGAATAAAGAAGGTGGCACAGCACCATGTGCTTGGTCCAAATGCAACGGCTCTTGGATTATCTTATCACCTTGCAGAAGGAGTATAATTAATATAACATAAATGGTGAATTTTCTTCAGTCTCCTCCACACAAAGTTGTCTGATACACTTCACGCGTATCCACCTGCTTGATAGGGCATATGTAGAAATAGACTTTCATGAACGCACAAGCCATGTTTGTTTTCTTTAACACAGATCCATGGACAGATGATTTCCGACAGGGATCCATTCCTCCCATCTTCTCTTCTCGTCCCTCCTAATTCCGCAGAAAGCGAGTTCGATGATCCTTCTGGAAGGACCCTCGAGCCCTCTGCCAAGCGCTAGACTTATTCTAATCCTGGTATGAATGACTATCCCACTTCCTAAAATAGGAGTCGTTGGACTCTGCCACGATGCTGGCTTTATTCCCAGACACTACGCCCCAGTCTCACAATGCAGTCTTAACATTCACTTTTCTCACATTTCCCTTTCAGTCCCTTTGCAGAGAGATGGTCAACAGTTGCCTTCTTGGTTGATCCTTTGTTAATTTCAAAGGACCTTTATGTATTTCATTTTGGCACGTTGCTTGTCCTACCATGTTTCATCTAAATATAATAGCACAGTCTCTGAAAAGACTAATTATACCCCCTTGAGTCCATGCTGGTGTACTCTATGCGTTTCATCTATTTTTTGCAGGTGGTGGTGCCCTGGTTGCGCATCAGGACCCAATCCTCGAACTCGAACTGAAAGAATTTCCAAGGTAACAGTCTCCCCTACAGTATGACAACGTCTCGCGAACATGAAGCATTTTTATCACGCTGACATATGTACTGACTCTAGACTAGAAACGCCACAGCTTTAACTGCAAGAATTCAAACTTTGCTAACAGTCACCAACGCTTCCAGAATCACCATCACATGCGTTAGTCGCCTATTGCCTTGTCCATTTATTGGTGGCTTGCTGGTCGCCGGAATGTCTTGATGGCTGTTGAGTGTTGAGACGGTGTGACGAAGTCGTATTAGAAAACGTCCTAGATCGGACAATCACTGTCATTAGTGTCGATTGATCGATTGGCCGACCTTTCTCCAAAATCAATACTTAGTTGAAGCCCATCACGACATAAACTGGGTCTTTTTCTTGGCATCGGTCAGTCAGTCAGGTACCAGAGTCAAGTAACCCTTAGTTGCGTCCCCATGTTGGCTTGGGATCACCGCAACGTGATATCGCAGGTAAGTACATGACAAGTGCAATAGCCCATACTCGATATGGAAAAGTATACATCTGGGTTCGGGATTCAAAAAAAAAAAAAGGAAAAAAAACAGATCCCGTGGTGGGGATGGTTGATCTCCTCGAAGGCGCAGGCGCAGACGCCATGATCTCTTGTCAAAAAGCTGACCAACGAACGATTTGATAGGAACAGACCACGGCGATCACCTCATTTCGTTTTCGTGATTGGAAAATGTTTTAACTTTCCCTATTCTCCCATGGTCGCCATTGCCCCAGCTGGCTGGACTACGCCGGCCGAAAAAGACAACTAGTTCGTCTGCTAGTTGGCTGTTGTGTACAGGTATCCCGGCCGTAGCGTGCTTGCGGAATACGAGCTGCTTCCTGAAATTTCCGAAAATCATCCCCGACTCGGCGACAAACAGCTGTCAGTACTTTTACTTTCGCTTGTCAGTGTCAGTGCTGGCTGGCTGATGGTAGGGTCTGGATATGATCGCTCCGCGTGGGTCTGCATTGTGTCTGTGTGTCTGCGTAGGTGATATATCGTATTATCTCTTTAGGTACAGAGTACAGTACTTGGACTGTACAATGTGGGTTGACAATAGCAAACGCGACAAGCCGACCAGGCTCTCTTTTGGGGGGATGCCCAATCGGAACAGCTCCATCTTCATCGTTATTTACTAGGGGTAAAATAGGACACGGTAGGCATTCTTACCAGAACTGTGCTGAGTTATTAATGAGTATACTCATAGTTGAAAAAGCTCATAAGAATATATTACTACCGAGACTGTCACTTATCGCCAACGTTCACGGGGGCCGAAAAATTAGAGTGTTAATAGGGTACGGGATAGCCGATAGTCAAAATATCACGATAGATACCCAAAGTAAAAATTAAACATAACTTATCACAACCAGCGCAGAGAAACACGAGTCGATTGACATAACCACTCATCATACTGCACAATCAGGTACTTATGGCTTATGAATACGACCCACTAACCAATCGGAAAGAGCCGTCCGCGCATACCATAACCGAATTGACATAGTTTAAGCTCTAGTTTGTGGTGTCAAATCGAGAACCCGTGGATCTACAAAGTACCCAGAGTTTATTTCGCGGATATTACGGTACAGTAATAACAAATTATACGTACTACTATGTATGTACACTTGGCAAATCTTCGGCTCCGACAGGAGACAACCATTGGTTTGCGGGGAAAGAGTCACCTGTCCCTGGATGAGTTCGCTGGTTTCGTATACGATGTTATCCTCGATTGCCTGTCATATCTTATGTATTTTAACTCTAATATTGTGGAGATATCCATAACCATCCATTTTTGGCAGTTTTGGTTCGGTTAGCCACTCCGAATCGTGATCGGTGTATGTATTGTCCCGCTACCGTATTATTTCTAACTCCTAAACCCGTACAGAGTACTCCAGAGTCCTAACACTACTATTACTACCGACACAAAGCAATTGCTTGAGAGATTGCGCGTAATTCACTTGACAGATTCAAGACAATAACTTAATATTAATTGCTCCCAATAGTTTATGCATACTACGTCGTATCCTTGTCAAAAGTATGTACATGGCAGCTGGAGCACTTGTACTTGTATTGTCCAGGCGAACTACCGCAGCCGACATAATTCCAAATACATAGCGTTGGTGCTGGGTCACATGTTTCGTGAGGTCAGCAGCGACTCGATGTATACTTATCTGTGCATGTACCTGTGCTTGTACATGTACAGAGAGAATAACAGTTTGTCAGAGTAAGCAGTCTAGAGCATTCTTTATCGGTATCCCTTTACTAACTAATGCCATCTGCCGTTTCATTCTCGAGTCCTTTCAGCAGGAAATGATATGTATCTCATACTTTTCGGTGCTGTAACTTCCCTTTGCTGCGCAGATTATATTCGAGTGTCCTAATATGCCCGTACTCTAAGCAATCAACCGAAGATACATCGTATCTGCCACTGACTTGTTTGCTTTGCATACACGTACAGGTGCCCCTTTCTTTCTGAGACAGCTGCATCTTCAGCTTCTGCAGAAGCTGTAGGCTGCAGAATTGCAGGATTGCAATCGCAAACAATCAAACATTCGCTGTCTGTATGTACATATCTCCTGCTGTGAACGTACGTGCATACTTGTACATACTCTCTGCCCATATACCTCCCATATACAATCACACACCACCCAATATGCGGCTGCGGATATGCAAAGGCAAGGAACGGTCTGATTATAAACCGGATGCTGTGAGGGGTCGATAACTGGTCAATTTGTATTAGATGCACCGGTCCATTGTTTTGCTTCTTTCACTACGTTGCTGTATATAATTTACCCCGGCTACAGCTGACGCGGTTCGGATCGCAATACAATAGATCGGATTGTGTTTGTTAAATTGTTATCGAGTAATCAAAAGGAACCTTAGTTGATTGTTTATTCCTTTGCCTGCAGTTCATATGCAAATAAGCACTTGTAAGAATCGAGGAAAAAGAAAAATAAAAAAGGTGAACTCCAACCGGTAACCAAGTTGGAAAATAATCCCAATTCATCCCAGAAACGCAAAGATCAAAGTATCAAAGTATCAAAGTCATGAACGGTCTTTTCTTCACGACGTTCAATCAAGCTCGTGGTATCCACATGCTTAATCAGTAAACTGGGTCTTGTCATCGTGCTGCCATCATTCGTAGGGGAAATTATTTCCAGCTTCATCATATTCGTCCCTAACTTAGATCCCGATAGGAAGGAACCACCCTATAATAGTTGGAAAAATAAATAAATAAATAAACAAAAGCCAATAACTCAATAAGTCAATAGTGATAAGTCTACTAAAACATGATATCTGAACGCAAAACCTCATTAAGAAAACAAGAAGGAATATTACTTCGTGGGACTTTGCTGTTGCCTCGATTCAGCAGTAGATTGAGGTGCCACAGCTGACGGCCCCAGGGGTGGAACCCGATTGAGCGATGGGGACGACATCAACGAGGGCCCCTGACCTTGACCCTGGCTCTGGGAAGGATTCCGTCCGCGCATCATCAGGGAATTCTCTCGTTGTCGTCGCTCCTCCTGCTCGGGCGTCATGCACTTGACAGGGGCAGGGATCGGGGCATCCGGTGAGCTTCGTCCCATCAATTTCGGGCTCGGTTCGAGCTTCTGGATTGGTGGAAGTATTGGCGCCCCTGTTATACTCCCCGATGTCACTGGTCGTGGCGAGTTTTTGGTCGGACTGATTCCTGACAGAGACATGCTACCGTGTGAGCTCTGTGGGGGGGAGGATTGAGAATTGCTAGGTGTTGCTGCGGAAAAGGATGGGGGGTTACTTTGGAATGAAGCGGATGCTCCACGGCTGGGACCATTCGGGCGTGGTGCCTGGTGCTGTCCATGAGGAGTCCAAGGTGCGCCATTCGAGGGAGCACCGGCTGGAAACCCTGCCAGAGGACCTACGTCGCGATTTCCCTGGGTTGGGGACATGGATGGCCGGTTCTGGATGGGTGATGAAAATGGGTTTTGCACGGAGTTGGATGTTGATGGTCGTCGAGAGAGAGACTGCTGAACCGGCGGTAACGGAGACTGACTAAATGGTTTCGTCGGTACCGGGTTCTTCGAGAACACACCAAAGCCATTCGCACTCTTCGATGGAGAAAACCGAGGAATTGGCTGCGACCGACGACGCTCTGGTGACATAGGCTGACCCGTGTTCATATACAGTGATGGCGACAGTGTGGACGGTTTGGAGGGGGAGCCATTTTGAATATTAGTAAAGCCAGGTCCTTGGGGTTTTTTAGAAGGGGAAGGCAGGTCTTGTTCCTGGAGCCGATGCTGGTATGACGCTTCCGCAGATGGAGAATTCGAAGCAGAATCGACCCGGAATTTCAACAGTGGAAGCTTTGGTAGTTTTGCTTCCTCCTCCTGGCGCTTGCAGTCTCGACAGACAAGATGGAAGTCTTCTTTTTCCGCCTCATCTTGCCCGATACCAAGACATTTACTATGTTGCCACACGTTGCATCTCTCGCATGCGACACTATGCGAACCGTCATCTAGATTCTCACCATGCACGCCGCAGCCTGAGCAATCAAAGATCCATTGGTCATCTTGCGAGATCTCTTCCAGATCCTTCCGTCGTCTCTCCAGTTCTGCCTTGAGATTTCTTTCCGACATTCTGCTCTCACCACGTTCAAGTTTCTCCTGCTCTGCAGTTATCCTTTCCAGTTCTTCTTCATGCTCAATACGTTTTCGCTCCCGCTCCTTAATGCGTCGCTCCCGTTGGTTGACCCGCAACTCCCTATCTTGTTCCATTCTCTTTTGTTTGGCTTCTTCCTTGCGAGCCGCAGCTAGTTCCGCCTGCTGCTGCAGATTCTCTTCCTCTGCTTCACGTTCCTGTCGCTCTTTCTCCGCTTTTCCAGCGAGACGGCTGGACCTCTTGGCACCGGCAAGCAGTTCCATGTTTAAAAGCTCCTTTTCGCGCTTTACAATCTCCCTTTGCTGGGCCTCTTCCTCCTTCTCAATGATGGGCATGACTTGCTCATTAAGACGGTCCCTTAAAACTTTCTCGTCGGGGTCCCTTGTTTTCTGGATAGTATCTAGGAATGCCTGGTACTCCGCCAGCGTCACGGCGATGCATTCCCATTTCATTCCGACCATCGAATACTTCGCCGTATCGCTATTGGCGTCCGTGTTCGCATCATCCGAATCTTCACCGGCAGCTCCGGAAACCCGTCTTCGTTTGGAGGCTCTAATGGCTCGTGCGTTTCTGCTTCTGGACTTCGGCTGCGACTTCGGAGAAGGGATTGGCGGAAAGGTAAGGCGATAAAGCCGGTTGTCATCCAGGACATAATAATACCGATCTTCACTATCGTAACCTAGTTCTTCGATACGCTTACGACATGTCAGTAACTCAAGCAAGGTATCTAGAGATAGTCACGCAACGACTCACCCAAGTAGTCTGATCATTCTCCCTTTGTTCCGGCATCTTTTCCCGGATACGGTCGGGGTTCCAAAACGTCCAGACGGACAGCTGGTGCAAGACACGGAGTTTCAGGAAGACATCGAAGTCCAGAAATCGTTTGGGCACTTCATCCTGCCCAAAGGGGTTTGGCAGGTGAGGGGCTTTGGCATTATATTGGCGTCGTGTATACTCGTCGAAATTGTCGAATCTATTTCCCAGGCATACATTTAGTCTCCTTTCCCGATTTCAACCCGGCGCGAAAAGACATACGTAAGACCTCGATGCGACGATATCCATTTGAGAAGACAAAGACCGATCTCCAGTAGTTTCTCCGATGGGGTAGGTTTCAGGCATTCGGTCTCCAGATCCTATCATTCACAGGGTCAAAACGTTAGTGTTAACTTTCTTGTATATTCACTGGACGTAATTCGCAATAACGTAAGGCTGGGCAAGACATACCTCAATTCCGAAATTCTCGTCAATTTTCATAGGCTTCCCAAACATGGAAATATACTGCATCAGATTGGCAAACTCCCAGCAATTCCGCAGGCGATGAAGCAATCCAGGCTGTTCCGGAGCCTTCTCCGGCGCAGCGCCTGCCTCCGAGTGATTGCGCTTTCGCGATACCATTGCGGCGGTTTCAGGTCGCCGCGGCGCAAGAGGGCAGGCTTCGCCGTAAAGGGGAGGAACGTTGCTGGATCTTTCTTGTTGACCTTGTTCTTATTCGAATAAAAAGAAATTGTTTGAAATTCACGGATTGATAAATTTTGAAAAAGCGAATTGATTCGAGGAACTGATCAATGTTCGGGCGGCGCGCCGAGTCTTTTTTGCAGGGCGAGGAGGCAAGGTTGGCGATGAACTCAAGAGAAGGCGGCGCGTTAAGACCGCCCGTCAGGTGACCTGCGATAAGGTTATTGTTGTTTCAGCTCACCAGCATATAATAATATTGTTATAAATTAAATGTTATTGTATTCTGTTTTACCAATAGTATATAATGGAACTGACTAAATTAGCATGGAGTATGAAAGATAAGCGCGATTTGTACGGAAATAGACCAGCCCGACGGAGATATATATGTATATCGTTAACTACCGGTCCTCATAATGCACCTTTAGCATAGTGAATGAAACCAAATACTGCCAAAGCCCGCAAGAACAAGCAGTAAATCGAAAGTAGCTTTGCTGGACATGAATGCAACTAGGAGGAATCATTAAGACCAGCAGATAAAAAGAACAAAAACCTAGATCTTGGTATCTCTCGCTCAAAGAAGGTCTATCTCATATGGAGGAATAGGAAAGGAAACATAGACAGGGGGAAATGCATAAAAAGAGGACTGCGCCAACCATATCCACGCCCCTTCACAAAGCCTATACCATGATGACACGCAGGAACAACAAGTGGGGATAAATATGAAAAAAAAGAAAAATAAGATAACAATAGAAAAGAAGAAAACAGAACAAAACCAGGAAGCGAAAAGTAGGAAAAGCACAGTTTTAGTACATAGTGGACGCGAAAATCCCCAAGACCCCAATAATTTTCCGGTATAAAATTCAGTGCAACAGACAAACCAAAAGAGAAGCCATCCTTTTTTCCCTCTTTTCTTAGTATTCGTGGCCTCGTCGACCGCATGTCTCCTTTCTTTTCTTTTTGTGCCGTGTTTCACATTATATGCGCCTGATCAACCGTTGTTCGCCTTAGCCCGACCCATGCATTCGTTAAAAAAAAAAAAAAAAAGGTGTCGAATATATCAAAGTAGATTAGAACGAGAAGAAAAATGAAGTGATGCTTTTTTGTGCCTCGTGATTTACATCGCAATGCCCGGAGCGCCGTCGGACACGTTGTCAGAGAGATTAATGAGGAGCTGTGCAAGGCAGCGTTTTGTGGCTGCGTCATCGCGAAGGACGGAGGAGAAGGTGGCATCCCGGAGTGGTTCGGGAAGACATTGACGCAAGGCCTCCCGGGCTCTGCTATTGTCACTCAAGCTGAAAACGGTCAGAATGAGTGTTCATCACGAGAGATGGGTATAACCGTCGCACTTACCGAAGGAAGCAGCGCACAACGTGCTTCAGTAACCTCACTGTCTGTTGCTCAACAAGCTGTGTGACCATGTTGCTCAAAACTGTCCCGACCGCATAAAATCTCTCATAAGTAGCACAGATGTATGCAAGGCCGACATCGTCGAGTAGAATTTTCTGTACAATGAAGATGGCGACGGTCTTGCTCAATTCAGAGCCAGTCTCCATAATGCGGAGGCAGAGGGGAATGATCTCCGTGGTAAGGAGGAAATTGATGACATCGGAGGAGTCATTCTTCACCAGAGCACCGATAACACCCAAGGAAGTAAGACGAAGATATTCAAAGGGGCGTGATTTGGAAGTGGTGTTAAGAAAAGGATAGAGAAACAGAGGAATATGAGCTATTTTGAAAAAGAGCGTCAGCAAGACCTATTCGAAGAAGAATATCAGAAGCGCTTTTTTCTTCACATACCATTAAGGAATAAAGTACGGGTCTCATTGTGAGACGCAACACATTGGAGCAGAGCGAGTGCATTGCAGACACGATTCGACGCAGCTGCAGTCAACTGGGATGGATTCAACAACGGGTAAACAGAAATTATCTCTTGGAGAAGGGCGGTCATAACGCCTAGAAGCCCAAAAGTTAGCAGCTTTGCATGATCACGGCATAGGCGGGGAAGAGAAGTACCAAAAGAATGCCAGATAACTAACGCGAGTTCAGGCACCTGCTCCCGCTTCTTGCTGAGTTCCATAAGTGCGGCCTCTCGGCGATTGGGATCCAGCAGCTCCGCGACCCAGATGAAAACCTTGCGATTTTCCTCACTGATTCCACCGTCGATCACCGAAATCGCACCGGACAAGCCTGCATCTCCGCCCATTCCTCCAGCGCCGGAACCTTGTGGTGAGTTCGTGGCACCGGCAGCTCCTGCCATTGCAATCCGACTATAGTGTTGTTGTTGAGCGGCTGCCGCCGCGGCCGCTGCAGCCTGGACCTGGGCATGCTGCTGGGCTACCAGCGAATGCTGCTGTTGGTGCGGATGTTGCTGGGCGGCTTGGTGATGTTGTTGCTGTTGCTGCTGGTGCAGCCATGACGGATCAGCTTGCGGGTACTGATGCTGATGGGAAAAGACGTGATGAGTCTGTGTTTGGAGCATGACGGGGGTCGAAGTGTTCGGTCTTGCTAGCACTGAGAGATGACTTGTGAGAATCGACAGTAACTAATGGGCGACGAATGACGACAATGCTGTATAGAATATTTGTAAAATGTCAAGAATTAAATACCAACGAGAGATTCATGGACGAATTTAGTTTTCTTTAGCAGTAGAGGCGAGTTGGTCGGAGTGAGTGCAGTTCGGGTTGTGTCGAGAACGAAGGTTCGGGAGGCGGGGAGGCACCAAGTCATGTGCTCCGCTATTCTGCCGGTCTTCGACTCTGCCTTGTTGTGTCCGCGCTCCACTATTACTACTGCCGTTAGAGGATAGATCTCAATATGATCCTTTGATTGTTACATGTTACCGAACAGGTGATTCAACTGGCGGCCATCAGGGGCATCGGGTGGCGATTATGCCATCCCTCTACTGACTGACACAGTGCATGCAGGTTGCACTGGACTCGCAGGAGCGGAATATACAGGCACGAGATGGTCAATGTCTTGTTTCAACCGATTTTGGATTACAGATCAGGTGAGAAACCTTTTACAATGCAGTGAATATCATTAATTGTTCATAGATTCATACTAACATACAAAATGTCATAAAAGGATTATCTATCATCAGTTTCCCCAGTCCCCATCATATGTACACCGTCAATTTCATGCAGACAA